TATACAACGAATATTCTTACGGCAACAACAACTTAATGTTCTAGTTGTGGGTGGGCCTTCGCAGCATATGCCTACTGTGTTTGCACCGAACAGTCACCCTTTGTCTAGTCCTACTCATCTGCATGTGTGCATGTGTATGAGTATATACTTCTATCACTGTGTTCATCTACGCATATGTGCCTGTGTATATGCACATCTTTCTCTCACTCTACTTCATATGTGGCGTTTCTGCAGGGTTGACACAGTGCCTTGACCACAAGGGTCTTGTGCACAGTGGCATTGCCATTGCTGCTGAGCATGTGGTGCTGAGTATTCGTAAGCTGTTGCTGGATCTGTTTGTGCCGTTGGGCTATTCCATTGTCTTCACAGGTCATAGTATGGGTGCAGGCATCAGTGCTCTGGCGGCCATGATGCTGGTAAGGGCTGTATAGCAACTGTACGGTTGTGTATGGGTCGGTAGTGTGCATGTACATATATTTATAACAGCTCTACAGTTGTGTGTGTTTTAATAGTGTGTATGTACATATATTTATAGCAGCCCTACAATTGTGTATGTTTTAGTAGTGTGTATGTAGATATATTTATATCAGCTCTACAGTTGTGTATGTTTTAGTAGCGTGTATGTAGACATATTTATAACAGCTCTACAGTGCGCATGTTTTAGTAATGTGTATGTAGATATATTTATAACAGCTCTGCAGTGTGCGTGTTTTAGTAGTGTATTTGTAGGTGTATTTATATCAACTCTACAGCTGTGTATGTTTCACCAGTGTATATGTAGATATATCTATATCCACTCTACCGTTGTGCCTGTCTGATAGTATGACTCGTGTCTCTCTCATAGGCTCCAGGTGTCATGGCTCAACACGCACTGCCTGAGAGAACGAATGTGTCGTCCGTTGGGTTTGCGCCGCCACCCGTCTGCAACGAAGCACTGGCGTTTGCGGCCAAGGACATAGGCCAAGGAGAGGTCATCAGTGTAGTCAACAGGTAAGCTCAAACCCTAGAGTTGAAAACCCTAAAACCCTATATCCCTCAAACTCTGATACCCTAAAACACTGTGGTGAGTGTGGTGTCATGTATTGGTGCATGTGGTAGTTCCGCTCATCAGTAGCAGAACCAACAGAACTTTAGTAGGACTATGGTAGACATGACTCCCGTGAATGTGTATCACCTGAAGTGGATACTGATTAACTCGCTATACTAATCTCATGGGAATATGAACTAATTCCATAATAATCACAAAAGAATATGAACTAATTCACATATTAATCTCAAGAGAAAATGAAATAATTTACATACTATTCTCAAGGGGATATGAATTAACTAGGACATTAATCTCAAGGGGATATGAATTAATTCACAGATTAATCTCAAAGGAATATGAATTAATCCACATATTATTTTCAAGGGAATATGAATTAATTCACTTATTAATCTCAGGGGAATATGAATCAATTCACGTACTAATCTCAAGGGGATACCAATCAACGAGCACATTAATCTAATGTTTATATGAAATAATTCTATGAATTAATTCACCTATCAATCTCAAGGGAATACGAATTAGTTCGCGTACTAATCTCAGGGGAATATGAATTAGTTCACATGCTATTTTCAACGAGATATGGATTAATTCGCATATTAATCTCAAAGGAATATGAATTATTTCACATATTAATCTCAAGGGATTATGAATTAATTTAAAGACCAATCTCAAGGGGATATGAATTAACTAGCACGTACTAATTTCAACGGGATGTGAATTGATTCACATACTAATCTCAAGGGAATATGAATTAATTCACATATTAATCTCAAAGGAATATGAATTAATTCACATATTAATCTCAAGGGAATATGAATCAATTAACATATCAATCCCAAGGGAATATAATTAATGCACGTACTAATCTCAAGGGATATGAATCAACTAACACATTAATCTCAAGGGGATATGAATTAATTCACATATTAATCTTAAAGGAATATGAATTAATTCACATACTAATCTCAAGGGAATATAAATTAATTCACATATTAATCTCCAAGGAATATGAAAATATTTCACATTAATCTCAAGGGAATATGAATTGATTCACATTCTGATCTCAGGGGGATATGTTTTTATTCGCATATTAATTTCGAGGGAATTTGAATTATTTCACGTATTAAAATCAAAAGAATATAAAAACATTAATCTCACGGGAATACTAATGAATCCACGTATTAATATTAGGTAATGTAAAACAATTCACGTATTAATATCAAGGAATATGAACTAATTCACATACTACTGTTGTTTGTACTCAGATACGATATCGTGCCCCGTGGCAGTCTGAGGAATGTCAAAGGTATTGTGAGGTTTTATGGTTTTAGGGTTTTTGTGATTTAAGGTTTAAGGTAATGTGTGTGAGCGAAGATACTGGTTTCTGCCGCTGTGTATGTTGTGCATAGAATGGAGGAATGGATATATATGTATAGTTGTGTGTAGTTATACATAGGTTTGTATAGTTATGTATAGTTATGTTTTTATACATATGGTTGTATAGTTATGTATAGTTGTGTTTTTATACATAGGGTTGTATAGTTATGTATAGTTGTGTGTAGTTATACATAGGTTTGCATAGGTATGTATAGTTGTGTATAGTTATTCATATGTTTGAATGGTTGTGTATAGTACATGTGTGTGCTGTAGGTGTTATCATTTAGGTTATGGTTAGAAATGTTCCTGTGACATTCAAGTGCTGTGGATGTCATGTCATATACGCTTTTGTTGTACAGTTATGCATGGCTGTTGTAGATGAGCCACCATATATGTGCATGGTATGGTGGTAGATGCCGGTGTTATACGCTTATGTTGTATAGTTAGGCATGGCTGTTGCACATGAGCAACCATATATCTGCGTGGTATAGTGGTAGATGCCTGTGTTGTACGCTTATGTTGTATAATTATGCATGGCTGTTGCACATGGGCCACCATTTCTCTGCGTGGTATGGTGATACATGCCTATTTTATACGCTTATGTTGTATATTTATGCATGGTTGTTGTAGATGAGCCAACATATATTGGTATGGTGGTAGGTGCCTATGTTATACGCTTATGTTGTATAGTTATGCATGGCTGTTGCACATGAGCCACCATATATCTGCGTGGTATGGTGGTAGATGCCTGTGTTATACGCTTCTGTTGTATAGTTATGCATGGCTGTTGCACATGAGCAACCATATATCTGCGTGGTATGGTGGTCGATGCCTGTGTTATACGCTTCTGTTGTATAGTTATGCATGACTGTTTCTGTTGCCCATCCTCATGCTTTGGCAACACCCATCGTATCATCTTTGGCCATTAACGCACTTGCGCTGTCTTGCGCCGTGTCGCATCTGCAGCTCTTTGGAAAGGTTTGGATACGCTCCACAAAATGCCAAACAACAAAGTGGAGGACCTTCTGAAACGGTACGTTGCCTACAGCATCTGCTCATGCACACCCACAGCCTACAGCGTCTGCACATGCACATCCACACGCTACAGCGTCTGCACATGCACACTCACACGCTACAGCATCTGCACATGCACACCCACAGCCTAAAGCATCTGCACATGCACATCCACAGCCTACTGCATCTGCACAAGCACACCCACAGCCTACTGCAGCCTACTGTATCTCTGCATGCACACCCACATGCTACAGCATCTGCACATGCACACCCACAGCATAAAGCATCTGCACATGCACAGCCACACGCTACAGCGTCTGCACATGCACACCCACACGCTACAGCATCTGCACATGCACACCCAAAGCCTACTGTATCTGTGCATGCACACCCACATGCTACAGCACCTGCACATGCACACCCACATGCTACAGCACCTGCACATGCACACACACAGCCTACAGCATCTGCACATGCACATCCGCACACTACAGCATCTGCTCTTGCACACCCACACGGCTACAGCATCTGCACATGCACACCCA